CAGAAATGGCCCAAAACTCCCTCCGCCACTCCTCCACTAACCTTTCTCCATTTCAGTGTGTATTAGGTTATCAGCCGGTCCTGGCACCATGGCATCAGAGTCAGATCGAGGCACCTGCGGTGGATGAATGGTTTCGGCGCTCAGAGGAGACCTGAAACGCTGCCCATGTACGCCTGCAACGGGCCATCAGGCGACAGAAGGCGAGCGCCGACCGCCACCGCAGTCAGGCCCCGGTGTATGCACCGGGGTACCGGGTCTGGCTCTCGACCCGAAGCCTGCCCCTTCGCCTGCCCTGCCAGAAGCTGGGTCAGCGGTTTGTGGGGCCATTTAAAGTCCTGAGGAGATTGAACGAGGTTTGTTATAGGTTACAGCTTCCTCCTGATTACCGTATTAACCCCTCGTTCCATGTGTTTCTCCTCAGGCCGGTGGTAGCTGGTCCGCTCCAGGAGTCTGAGGTACGGGAGGTTCCTCCCCCCACTGGACATCGAGGGGGCACCGGCGTACTCGATCCGTTCCATCCTGGATTAGAGGCGGTCGGGTGGGGGGCCTGCAGTATCTCGTGGTGTGGGAGGGGTACGGTCTGGAGGAACGGTGCTGTGTCTCTTGGAGGGACATCCTCGATCCCTCCATGTTGAGGGATTTCCACCGTTGTCATCCGACTCGCCCTGCGCCGCGTCCTACTGGCCGTCCCCGAGGCTGGAGCCGCGCGTCAAGGGGGGGGGGGTACTGTCACGGATTCAGCTGAGGCTGCCCCTCCTCCTTGCTCGGGCAGGCTTCGATGTTCGTCGTCACCGGAGTACTAGCTGCTACCGATCTATGTTTCTGTGTTCTACTTGTTTTGTCTTTATTGTACACACCTGGTTCCCATTATGTCCATGATTTGTTCCCTATTTAACCCTCTGGCTCCCACTGTGTTGTGTGCGGGTTTGTTCTGTGTTTGGTGTCATCGACTGGTGAGAGGGATTGTCCTCCCTGCGTAGAGATTATGTTAATTTATATTTACGAGTAAAGTACGTTGTCTACTAGCTCTGTGTCCTGCGCCTGACTCCGTCCTACCGCTACACACTGACGCCTGATAGTGTTGAGGCACAGATCTGGGGAAGGGTACTAAAACATTTCTGCAGCATTGAAGGTCCCCAAGAAGACAGTGGCCTCCATCATTCTTAAATGGAAGAAGATTGGAACCACCAAGACTCCTCCTTGAGCTGGCCGTCCGGCCAAACTGAGCAATCAGGGGAGAAGGGCCTTGATCAGGAAGGTGACTAAGAACCCGATGGTCACTCTGACAGAGCTCCAGAGTTCCTATGTAGAGATGGGAGAACCTTCCAGAAGGACAACCATCTCTGCAGCACGCCACCAATCAGGCCTTTATGGTAGAGTGGCCAGACAGAAGCAACTCCTCAGTAAAAGGCACATGACAGCCCACTTGGTGTTTGCCAAAATGCACCTAAAGGACTCTCAGACCATGAGACACAAGATTCTCTGGTCTGATGAAACCAAGGTTGAACTATTTGGCCTGAATCACGTCTGGAGGAAACCTAGCACCATCCCCACGGTGAAGCATGGTGGTGGTGGCAGCATCATGCTGTCAGGGTGTTTTTCAGCAGCAGGGACTGGGGGACTAGTCAGAATCAAGGGAAAGATGAACGGAGCAAAGTATAGAGAGATCCTTGATGAAAACCTGCTCCAGAGCTCTCAGGACCTCAGACTGGGGCGAAAGTTTTTTGATTTGTGGATTTTTTTTCCTTCTTTTAATGCGTTTGAGCCAATCAGTGTTGTTGTGACAAGGTAGGGGGGTATACAGAGGATAGCCATATTTGGTAAAAGATCATGTCCATATTATGTCAAGAACAGTTCAAATAAGCAAAGAGAAATGACAGTCCCATCATTACTTTAAGACATGAAGGTCAGTCAATACGGAAACATTTCAAGAACTTGAAAGTTTCTTAAAGTGCAGTCACAAAAACCATCAAGCGCTATGATGAAACTGGATCTCATGAGGACCACCACAGGAATGGAAGACCCAGAGTTACCTCTGCTGCAGAGAATAAGTTCATTAGAGTTACCAGCCTCAGAAATTGCAGCCCAAATAAATGCATCACAGAGTTCAAGTAACATACACATCTCAACATCAACTGTTAAGAGGGGACTGTGTGAATCAGGCCTTCATGGTCGAATTGCTGCAAAGAAACCACTACTAAAGGAAGAAGAGACTTGCTTGGGCCAAGAAACACGAGAAATGTGTCCTTTGGTCTGGAGTCCAAATTGGAGATTTCTGGTTCCAACCGGCGTGTCTTTGTGAGACGCAGTGTGGGTGAATGGATGATCTCTGCATGTGTTTTTCCCACTGTAAAGCATGGAGGAGGAGGTGTTATGGTGTGAGGGTGCTTTGCTAGTGACATTGTCTGTGATTTATTTAGAATTAAAGGCACACTTAACCAGCATGGTTACCACAGCATTCTGCAGCGATACACCATCCCATCTGGTTTGGGCTTAGTGGGACTATCATTTGATTTTCAACAGGACAATGACCCAACACGCCTCCAGGCTGTGTAAGGGCTATTTTACCAAGAAGGAGAGCGATGGAGTACTGCATCAGATGACCTGGCCTCCACAATCCCCCGACCTCAAACAAATTGAGATGGTTTGAGTCGGACCGCAGAGTGAAGGAAAAGCAGCCAACAAGTGCTCAGCATATGTGGGAACTCCTTCAAGACTGTTGGAACATTCCAGGTGAAGCTGGTTGAGAGAATGCCAAGAGTGTGCAAAGCTGTCATCAAGGCAAAGGGTGGCTATTTGACAAATCTCAAATATAAAATATATTTTGATTTGTTTAACACTTTTTTGGTTACGACATGATTCCATATGTGTTATTTCATAGTTTTGATGTCTTCACTATTATTCTACAATGTAGAACATAGTAGAATTGAAGAAAAACACTTGAATGAGTAGGTTTTCTAAAACCTTTGACCGGTAGTGTACATTTGCTAACATTTCTAAAAACCTGTTTTTGCTTTGACATTATGGGGTATTGTGTCTAGATTGATGAGGGAAAAAAGCTATTTAATCCATTTCAGAAAAAGGCTGTAACGTAACAAAATGTTGAGGGGTCTGAATACTTTCAGAATGCACTGTATATATACAATTTAGCCTTTTATCCCATAGTTTTTATAGAAAAACCTCAAGTGATTGATAGACCAGATATGGATATTGTCATTGTGTCCCCACTATAGGAATCCTCTGGACCTGCCGCCCATACAGGAAGTGGAGAGGGAGCTCTGTGCCCCTGAGAGGATGAGAACAGTGGAGAGAATGGTGGATGAGTTGTCTCAGGCTTTGACCTTTCCACGGATGTGGTCATGTTAGTACAAAACTTTACTCAAATCATTAAAACCGACCTTCACATAGCAAGTGTTTCTCTTGCTGCTTTTTTGTTGCATTGGTAAGAAAATCTGCATTAGGAATGAATGGAATGGTATGTGGTCATGTACACGTAGACTTTTCATGGCCGTAAATGTATAACTTATAGTAGTATACTGAATGCTGTTCATTCATCACCATCACTGTGGTCCTCTGTAGCTCAGCTGGTAGAGCACGGCGCTTGTAACGCCAAGGTAGTGGGTTCGATCCCCGGGACCACCCATACACAAAAATGTATGCACGCATGACTGTAAGTCGCTTTGGATAAAAGCGTCTGCTAAATGGCATATTATATTATTATTATATCAATAAATAGTCGATATGTTTTCAATGCATTGCATATCCATGGTGCATTGACAATGACTGTCTATCTGTAGATCTAAGAACACTTAGGTTGGACCTCAAAACAGCCCATCCGAAGCTGGAGGTGTCAGGGGACAGGCTACAAGAGCGCTGGAACACGCAGCCCATTGGAAAGGACCGTTATGAGCATTGTGACTCACAGTGCAGTGTCCTCGCACAGGAGTCCTTCTCCACTGGCCTGCTTTACTAGGAAGTCATTGTCCATGAGAAACCCTATTGGCTGATTGTTGCAGCCAATGGGTCCATCCCCAGTAGAGATTGGAGAATGGACCAGACTCAGGACTTGACCAACCTGGGTTTAGCAAGATGAACAAGAGATCCTTCTGCATCTACCATGGGGATGGACAGTACCTGGCATGTCATGAATTTGTTCTCCTGAGATCCTGGTTCGAATCCAGGCTCTGACGCAGCCGGCCGCGACCGGGAGACTCATGGGCGGCGCACAATTGGCCCAGTGTCGTCCAGGGTAGGGGAGGGAATGGCCGGCAGGGATGTAGCTCAGTTGATAGAGCATGGTGTTTGCAACGCCAGGGTTGTGGGTTTGATTCCCACGGGGGGCCAGTATAAAAAAAATATGTATTCACTAACTGTAAGTCGCTCTGGATAAGAGCGTCTGCTAAATGACGTAAATGTAATGATTCCCAAGAGACGTTACTGTCAGGAGGGGGAAGGAGAGTCCGAAAGCTGGGCCTGCTGGCTGACATCCATAAGGGAGAGCTGTTGTTTTATAATGCGGACACACTGAGCCTGCTCCACTGATTTTTTGTGCAGCAGTGTGTGGGGCCTCTATACCCTATGTTTAACCCCTGTATTGACGTGAACAGACAGCTGCTCACCCTGTTCTGTCTAAGAGATGCCTTGTGAAACCAGCGATAGCTCATATTTTGCTTCACTTCATGTGTCAAATGAAATGAAAAGTGTGTGCCGCAGTCAGTCTGCTTGACCAGGCTAAACACACACAGTCCTAAGTTCTGACTCTCATTGGACTGTATGTCCCTCTGTCCTTTGGTCATCTGTTTTTATTTTAAGACTTTGGTGTACTTCGCTTGTACTTGCAACAAACAAGTATGCTATTGACCATTAAACTACATATTATTCACCATGAAAGGTTCTGTGCTTTCATTTTATAGACCTATACTTACTACGTAGTTTTCTCTCATTATCACCACAAATGTATTCTACCAAGAATACCATTGTAAAAAAGAATATAAACAGAATTCAGAATCCCCATCTTTGGAGGAAGGTGCATATAGAGAAGTTTAATGGTTTTGTTCTCCTACAGTCAAGTCAGTCATTTTATATCCTGGAATAACAGCTATATTCAAAACATAAATCAATGATTACTCAGTAGCGGACCACTTAAGAGACAGCTATTTTAGCACTACTGCAAGGTTTTTGTGATAAACTACCGCTAGAAGATGCTAAATCACAATGTTGCATATGCATTGCGGAATTGTTCTGCCAATACCGTGCTGTGATCTAACTTTTTAGTGCCTGCAACTGTATGGACTGGCATAGCCCAGCTATGCTGCTTGTGTCTTTGACTTTATCCAGTCAAGGTAGTGGGAGACCCGTGTGTAGACCCCAGGCTTGTTCTTCAACCCACACTGGTCTCCCCAGCTCACTATACCGTAGATGAAATGGGTGCCCTCCTTGTTACAAGTCAGCGGCCCTCCAGAGTCACCCTGTCAGTCACACGGAGTGTTCATGAAACATTTTCAAACCATTCAATACCAAACACAAAGTAATCTCAATCCAATCATAATTCAATACCCCCAAACTATGCTTTATGTGATACAGTTGAAGTTGGAAGTTTACATACACCTTAGCCAAATACATTTAAACTTAGTTTTTCACAATTCCTGACATTTAATCCTAGTAAAAAAAGAATGTGAAATGTCAGAATAATAGTAGAGACAATGATTTATTCCAGCTTTTATTTCTTTAATCACGTTCCCAGTGGGTCATAAGTTACATACACTCAATTAGTATTTGGTAGCATTGCCTTTAAATTGTTTAACTTGGGTCAAACGTTTCGGGTAGCCTTCCACAAGCTTCCCACAATAAGTTGGGTGAATTCTGGCCCATTCCTCCTGACAGAGCTGGTGTAACTGAGTCAGGTTTGTAGGCCTCCTTGCTCGCACACGCTTTTTCAGTTCTGCCCACACATTTTCTATAGGATTGAGGTCAGGGCTTTGTAATGGCCACTAAACACCTTGACTTTGTTGTCCTTAAGCCATTTTGCCACAACTTTGGAAGTATGCTTGGGGTCATTGTCCATTTGTAAGAGCCATTTGCGACCCAGCTTTAACTTGAGATGTTACTTCAATATATCCACATAATTTTCATTCCTCATGATGCCATCTATTTTGTGATGTCAAGCAAAGAGGCACTGAGTTTGAAGGTAGGCCTTGAAATACATCCACAGGTACACCTCCAATTGACTCAAATGATGTCAATTAGCCTATCAGAAGATTCTAAAGCCATGACATCATCTTCTGGAATTTTCCAAGCTGTTTAAAGGCACAGTCAACTTAGTGTATGTAAACTTCTGACCCACTGGAATTGTGATTCAATGAATTATAAGTGAAATAATCTGTCTGTAAACAATTGTTGGAACATTTGCTTGTGTCATGCACAAGGTAGATGTCCTAACCGACTTGCCAAAACGATAGTTTGTTAACAAGACATTTGTGGAGTGGTTGAAAAACTAGTTTTAATGACTCCAACCTAAGTGTATGTAAACTTCCAACTTCAACTGTATCATACTGTACTCAGCCAGAGTTAGTCTCAAAGCACCTCCCAAACACAGCCTCGAGTCCCCATCCAACCCAACCACCTCACTGACCTGGCAGGAGTCCGCTCCTCCCTGCAGGTAACCGGCACAAAACATGGTGTTGTCTATGGTGCTCCCATAGACTTTACTGCTTGAACAGCTCTTCTGACTGATCAGCAGCACCTGGGCATCCTGTAGGTGGTTGGAGCCATAGACAGCTACGGGGGGGGGGAAAGAGCAGAAGAGCGATAGTGAAAGGAAAATAACAGTTTACACACTTCTAGAAAGTAGAGAAAGAGAATGACATATATAAATATATATAATATATATATATATATATATATATATATATATATATATATATATATATATATATATATATATATATACATGTATAACAGATGATTACAAGCTTACACAAAAGACCCATGTAATATGATCAGATTCCATTCGATTGAATTCAGTTCAATTTTGAAATAACACATGACTAGTGTACATGCACATGACGCAAGTAATATAATTAAATAAATATGCTGTGTGCATGATGGCAACATAAGTACATGCCAGTGGAGGCTCATCACAGGAGGAAGGGGAGGACCATCCTCCTCATTGAATTTCATAAAAAATAAAAATGGTAAAACATTGGAAAAGTTATCATTTTTAGATAAAACTATACTAAATATATTCACATCACCAAATAATTGATTAAAACACACTGTTTTGCAATGAAGGTCTACAGTAGCCTCAACAGCACTCTGTAGGGTAGCACCCTGGTGTAGCCGGAGGATAGCTATTTTCTGTCCTCCTCTTGGTACATAGACTTCAATACAAAACCTAAGAGGCTCTTTGTTCTCACCCCCTTCCATAGACTTACACAGTAATTATGACAATTATTAGGACGTCCTCCAACCTATCAGAGCTCTTGCAGCATAAACTGACATGTTGTCCACCCAATCAAAGGATCAGCAAATGAATCTAGTACTGAAAGCATAAGCTACAGCTAGCTAACACTGCAGTGCATAAAATGTGGTGAGTAGTTGACGCAAAGAGAGAGAAATACAATAGTTGAACAGTTTTCAACAAATTATTTCTTCAAAAATGAAGGAGAAGCAAGAGAGAGAGAGATTGATCTCGTCATTTTTTTTTTTCACTTTCAGTTTCACTTACTTAGCTAACAAAAGCAGCTGGCTAGTTTAGTTACTCAAACACCCGGCTCAAACAGACGGATGCTATGTTAGCTAGCTGGCTATGACTATCCAACACAACATTGGAACTCTTCCAAGTCAAGGTAAGCTTTTGTTTTTTTAAATTTATTGCCACCGGGGCCCGCCGATGTAACTGCTTACTGACTACACACTGTAACGTTACTGCGTGATTGTAGCGGGTTTACTAACGCATTAGTTCTATTAGCTATGTTGACTAGGACGTTACTTTAGCTAATATGGGGACAACGATGTAGGCTGTGTGTAGCGGTTATGACATTGTTTGGAAAGGTTTTTTCGCCTTGCCACATACAGCTGATGTGTTGTTCATTGAAGTCCACAAACAAAGGGAAAAGGTGAGAGGAGGAGAGTGCATAGAGGCTAGAATGAATACAATGTAGCTGCTATGAAAGTGAACTGTGTTTATGCGCGATCAGAGGTGTATTCATTCCGCCGATTCTGTTGAAAAACGTTTCTTAAACGGAACCAAACGAAACGGGGATAAAAATACCTGAATCTGTCCAATAGAAACTCTTGTTTGCAACTGTTGGACTAATGATTACACCCTAGATAAGCTAGATGCAGGCAAGAGTGTGCATGGCGGTATTGAATGTGTCACTGTCTGTCATCTAAAATGTATCTCTCGACCTGTGTGTACCTACATTGTAAATGTTCATAGGCTAGGTTGTAACAACCTCATGATGGGTACAGGGAAAATTTGAGTATCATGTAGTAGCCTACACCTATCGATGTTACATTGAACTGGGTGAATGGAATATGAATGACAGTCATCCAACATGCTGTAATAGACATAAGGCCATGCTCATGGAAAAAGAAATGTGTCCTCCCTCATAATAAACGGCACTGACCACCACTGGTACATGCACACTGTACATGAACATAAGGAAATGCAGTAGAGCCTGCTCTTACAGTCCTTAGTAGCGCCCCATCCAGAGATGGTGCACTCAGTCCCATCAGGGAATGAGCTATCAGGCAAGCAGGCTGCCTTCACAAACTGGCTCTCTCTGGCACAGCGACCATCTGTGGTTTTCAGCTTCAGCAGAGCTTTGGGTCAGAAAGGAAATATATATTATGGTACATTGACTTTGCAGTCACTAAAATATAACAATCAGGGATGGGATTTAATTTCAATTTCAAAACTAGTTTTATTGGGATTTCTTCACAGTTACAATGTAAGCAATGATTGAATCGTATTGCACGTGATGTTATACATTCAAATATAATATGGGAACATGTTTTTTTTTTAAAGAGGTAGAAATGTATAGACCCATATAAAATATAAAGTAGAAATAGGATCAATTTAATTTAATTTCAGTCAATTATATTCAAAAAGTGAACTGAAATTCTAATTCCAATTGTTCCTTATTGAAAAGCATTGCGAAAAATTGGAATTGGAGATTGGAATTTCAGTTTGCTTCCTCAATTGACTAAATTGAAATGGAATTGACCCCAACCCCTAATAACAATAGACCATCCTTAAGGGAATCCTGACATGCAAACTACAGTAAATAGAGCTTTGAGAAAGAGCAAAAATCACCTATGTCATTGTATACAGCTGCGGATGTCTCCTTGTAGTTCTCATGCCTTGTGGCTTTCTCCACCTGGATCGTCTGCCCAATGGGCACATCCGTACCTAGAGTCAGACCCCCAGCCACCACCTGCATCTGGTCCTTTGGATCACTGGTCCAACACAAACACAATGTAGGGTTACACAAATAACTTGCAGTGAACCGTGGGATTGATATACAGTGCATTCGGAAAGTATTCAGACCCTTTCACTTTTTCCAAATGTTGTTACGTTACAGCCTTATTCTAAAAAGGATTACATTTATTTATTTCCTCATCAATCTACAAACAATACCCCACAATGACAAAGCGAAAACAGGTTTTTGAAATGTTTGCAAATGTATAAAAAAACAAAAACAGAAATACCTTATTTACATAAGTATTCAGACTCTTTGCTATGAGACTCAAAATTGAGCTCAGGTGCATCCTTTTTCCATTGATCATCCTTGAGAAGTTTCTACAACTTGATTGGTAAATTCAATTGATTGGACATGATTTGGAAAGGCACACATCTGCCTATATAAGGTTGACAGTATATGTCAGAGCAAATACCAAGCCATGAGGTCGAAGGGATTGTCCGTAGTGCTCTGAGACAGGATTGTGTCGAGGAACAGATCAGGGGAAGGGTACCAAAACATTTCTTCAGCATTGAAGGTTCCCAAGAACACAGTGGCCTCCATCATTCTTAAATGGAAGAAGTTTGAAACCCTCAAGACTCTTCCGAGAGCTGGCTGCCCGGCCAAACTCAACAATCGGGGTAGAAGGACCTTGGTCATGGAGGTGACCAAGAACCCGATGGTCACTCTGACAGAGCTCCAGAGTTCCTCAGTGGAGATGGGAGAACCTTCCAGAAGGACAACCATCTCTGCAGGACTCCACCAATCAGGCCTTTATGGTAGAGTGGCCAGACGGAAGCCACTCCTCAGTAGAAGGCACATGACAGCCCACTTGGAGTTTGCCAAAATGAACCTAAAGGACTCTCAGACCATGAGAAACAAGATTCTCTGGTCTGATGAAACCAAGGTTGAACTATTTGGCCTGAGAGCCAAGCGTAAAACATTTTTTTAGGATAAAAATAAATGGAATAGAGCAAAATCCTAGAGGAAAACCTGGTTCAGTCTGCTTTCCAACAGACACTTGGAGACAAATTCACCTTTCAGCAGGACAATAATCTAAAACACAAGGCCAAATATACACTGGAGTTGGTTACCAAGAAGACATTGAACGTTCCTGAGTGGCCTAGTTACAGTTTTGACTTAAATCGGCTTGAGAATATATGCCAAGACTTGAAAATGGCTGTCTAGCAATAATCAACAACCAACTTGACAGAGCTTGAAGAATTTAAAAATAACAATGTGCAAATATTGTACAATCCAGGTGTGCAAAACTCTTACAGACTTCCCCATTAAGACTCACAGCTGTAATCGCTGCCAAAGGTGATTCTAACATTTATTCACTCAGGGGTGTGAATACTTCTGTAAATTAGGTTTTTCTGTATTTAATTTTCTATACATTTGCAAACATTTCAAAAAACATGTTTCCACTTTGTCATTATGGGGTATTGTGTGTAAGTATTTAATGCATTTTAAATTCAGGCTGTAACACAACAAAATGTGGAATAAGTCAAGGGGTATGAATACTTTCTGAAGGCACTGTATTACAGTTATGCTCACATGCAGTGGCCGGCGGTCAGTGCCCAGCAGCTATCGATGAGCACCGCTCCACAGATGTGCCTGTATGACTGGCTGGAGCTCTTGGGTCGGACCTGTAGGGACAGCTGCCAGGGCTGGGCTCCAGGGATGGCTTTCAAGCCTCCGTAGATCCTGGTGATGGCCTTCTTCGGCTGGGGCTTTCCACATGTGGTGAACTGCTTATCAGAGGTGAGGCTGGCTGTGGTCAGTCCTGGGGCTCCACTGGGCTTTGGCGCTGTAGGCTTCTCTGGACCTGCTGAGGGTTTGGCCGGTGTTGGTTTTGGCTTGGGTGGTGTAGTAGTGGGATTGGGACCAGCAGTAGGCTTGGTAGTTGTAGTAGTGGTGTTGGGACCAGCAGTAGGCTTGGTAGTTGTAGTAGTGGGCTTGGTAGTTAGAGTAGTGGGCTTGGGACCAGCAGTAGGCTTGGTAGTTATAGTAGTGGGCTTGGGACCAGCAGTAGGCTTGGTAGTTATAGTAGTGGGCTTGGGACCAGCAGTAGGCTTGGTAGTTATAGTAGTGGGCTTGGGACCAGCAGTAGGCTTGGTAGTTGTAGTAGTGGGCTTGGTAGTTGTAGTAGTTGTAGTAGTGGGCTTGGGACCAGTAGCACACTTCCTGACATCACAGTGATCCCACAGCAGCGCCCGCCCTCTTCTTATGAAACACCATGGCTTAGTGTCACCATCTGGGTTTCTGGACCAGGCAATACACAACAGTAAACAGCAGAGTTAAGTGTATACAGCAATAGGTTTGAGTGAGAGAGATAAGTATATAAGGTGTCTTTTAATATTTATACTCTACCGATGTATTGTATAGCAAATGTCAATCATTATTAAAGATAATTTATTAAACCTGGGCCTTTTATTAAAAAGCATCTCAGAGTAGGACTGCTGTTCTAGGATCAGGTCCCCCTGTCCATATAATTGTATTCATCATTATCTAAAAGGCTAAACTGATCCTACATCATCACTCATACTCTGAGACTCTATGTGAATATGGGCCCAGACCTGCAGAAGTTATGAGGGCCCAGTCCATCGTCATCCTCAAAGTCATTGAAGGGATCAACGCCTTTCTTCAGGATGAAATGGGAGTTCCAGTAGAGACATTCATCTCCATCATCTGTCTCACTCACGTTGCCGCGATACGACTCCCCTTCATCCTTGAGCTTGTAACAGTCATTTGGGCCTAGTCAAGATGATGACATTTACATCCAGTCAGTATATCAGGAACGGCTCGACCATTCCATTTAAATTCTAGCAATTTAGTAAACTGAAATTCCAATTCCATTTTCTTCAACAAATTTCGGTTTAGTTCCTGAAATGGATATGAACCCAACTCTATTGGCTGACTGAAGAGCTGGAATGTACTGTATTTATTTACCAACATGACAGAAACTTCCCTTGAAGCCTTCTGGGCAGAGGCAGTCAAAGTCCATGCCGTCCCTGACGCACAAGCCTCCATTCTTACAAGGGTTAGGCTGACACACCGCAACTGGAAGAGAAACGTGATTACAGAAACCATGCTTAGCTAGAAATGACCAAAAAATTCCATAGTATACATTGCTATTTTCTTCAATTACCCAAAAAATGAAAGAGGATAATAATTTGATTAATTTATGAGGACACTCATCATTCACTTCAGAGGCCAGAGGTTAGAAGGGCTCTCACATGATTTGCAGTCTGGGGGCAGGAAGGGCTGCTTGCACTTGCACTCGTAGAAAGGTGGTTTAGAGGTCAACACACATTCGCCACGCCCACATGTGCCCGTCTTACACCTTTTGGGCCCTGTAAGAACAAATCAGATTCAAATCAGTTCATTCCATAATGTGGTGTCAAGGCAAATGTGGCATAATCTTTGTTGTAAATATTTTTTGGTGTTAAAACACAAAAACTATTTAAAATCTACTATACAAGCCAAGCACTAAAGTACAAATCTTTTTCAATTTATGTAGTCTCTTTTCCCTTTCCTACCTTTCTGGCACTTCTTGCCCTTGAATGGCTTGGCACAGTCACATCTGAACTTCTTTCCCTTCTCCTCACACACACCGTTGTTGAGGCAAGGGTTTGGGTTGCATTGACCTGCAGTATGAACAAGACAAGGGGAGGAGGAAGAATTTTACATGAGAAGTTTCAAACAGTGACTGATTTAAACTCAGCATCGACTTTAGATGTCTTATGAAATATCTACAGTGTAAAACTTTCTTGATGTTTTGACAGTATTATACAATCAAACGAACAGTAAAGTAACATTAATTATTTACAATAAATTGCTGTAAATGGCAATGCACTCTGGGGGATTCTAGGCGTAAACAGTCAATTATAACAGTACATTACTGTAACTGCACAGCATTGTGGGATTGGCAACTTGCAACTTTTTCAAGCAATTCTGAGTAATAGGATTGAGAGACATCAAGGTCTGAAGTGAACCAACCAAACAAGGTGTGTACAACATTTATATGATTTACAAATATAATTACACCGAATATTACAGTGTAATGAAAACATTGCATTTATACAGTACAGTACATTTGTACATTTATCAACAGTAAAATACTGTGAAGCATTATACTGCAGCATACTGTAAATGATTGTGCATTGTGGGAAAATGTTGTGGGCGGGGAAAGAATTGCGGTATTTCGAATGGTACTGTAATTCCACCCCACATAATACAGTACCGTAACGTATTTTTGGAGTGCCAAAAATCTTTTGACCACTAGTGGTTACATGGTATAGTTTTTCTGGCTCATGAACATATTTTGAGGCGTGCATTTTAAGAGGTTACATTTGTGCCACCCGTTAGTGAGACTGCTGTACCAATTTCACTGATATGTGGTAGTAGTGCTCCAACAATTAAATGTGTATAGGGAAAAGATCGGAGTGGCAGTAAGTCTCAAACATGTAATGGTTGAGTATTTGCCATGTCCTTTGGTCTGTTTTGCCCTGTATTCACTACTAGTTTGGAAGCCTTTGTTTAGGCTTCTAGAAGTGCAATTGATATAAAAGACCAAACAAAGACTTCCAAACTGGCATTCATTGATATGCTGTAATATGTAAACACATTACTAATCCAATACAATGATGGTAAAATACTGTAAAATACAAACCCCATCTCCTCTCAATGAATTTAATTTGTTTATTCATTCATTCGTTACAATTACCGTAAAAAGGCAGCCAGTTGCCTGCAAGTTACCATAAAAACAACAGTATAACATATCACAGTATCAGTATTGGATACTGTAAAATACAGTACAGCAACATATTGTACCTTTTTCTATGGTAACTTTCAGTCAACTGGCTGCCTTTAAGTTACGGTAAAAACAACAGAAAAGGTTTTACAGTGTAGCGTAAATAGAAGACAATTTCTTCTTCATATCTTACCATGTGGTTCTTGGAGTTCATAAAGCCAGTCAGGATCATCACTATCATCCTCACCTGGTTCATCTACGATCTCAAAGAATGGGTCTAGAGCAGAGATACACTGTCAAATATTGCAGTGTTACATGGTCTATCTCTCTCTCTCTCTCTCTCTCTCTCTCTCTCTCTCTATGTCTCTGTGTGTGTATGTGCGTGAAAGGCTATTGTGAAAGCCTACACTATTGTCCATTATGAATAAATGGGGTAATGTGCTTACCCTTCAGAATATCCTCAAATCTTCTGTATTTTCGTTCAGGTTTTTTGTTGTGTTTTTCTTGTTTCATATGTTTTTCATGCTTCTCATGTTTATGTAACTGAATAAAAGATGTAATCATTCTTCTTTCAACCAAGTAACACTATGGACAGTAGTAGTAGTAGTACATTTATATTTTACCAGTGCTATGGGCAACAGTGGGCCAAATGCAAGCAATCATGCGATATTTAACAAACTGCAAAACTTGTAAATAACAATTTTATCTAGGAATTATATTGACAGCACATCTTTTAGATTTTATTGAACACAGCAAAATAAACAATTAAACAACTGGAAACATGTTTGACAGGCATTTACTCTAAACTTGCAACTGAGTCTATCACCCTTTTATTCCTGATATTTCCTTAAAAAGAAAGTGAAATGAGTAGAATACATACTTGAACAGGTAGGATGAGCAATACAAGGAAGATGCAGAAGAAAAGCAGCTTGGAGTTCATGATGGCAGTGATTGTGTGCGGCTAGAAGAGTGATTCTGTCAGATCACCACATAATTTCCCAACCATTTGTGTGGGAAGACTAACCTTTGTATGTACAGAGTGCTTTGGCATCTAGGTCTCTCACCGCACACTACTGTTCTATTGACCAAGGGGGGTGTCAGTCAGAGTTTTTCTCATGTCAAGAGAGCTCACCTTAAATTATGAAACACATATAATAAATAAACATACACATTATCTGCAACTCTAATGGTAAGTGATTCATCAATACAGGCGCGACTGAACTAGATTGTTTGTTAAAATATAATTAGCACATAGGACTAGTCATCTACTATTGGATATTACCATTGGGGCTCAGAGATCCTATTTACAAAGAGAGATTGTTGTTTGTTTGAGTGTAGACTTTGGATTCACATCACATGTTAGCTGTGTAGGCTACTCTCCAGGGGCATGAAGTGCATTTTAGGCCAAACATCTTCCTTCTGTGGCCCTGTGTGGTTTACAGAGCAGCAAAAAAATATATAGCTAAAACCACTAATACTTTTGTTAGAAAGTTAAGGATGTCTCTAAAACTGGAACCACAATACATTTAAAACGATCTTGATCCTCCCGTTATATTTCAAAACAGCACCTTAAATACAGTCATTAATAGATTACAGAATGCATATTTAAGTACTTGAATAGATAAAAGAGCAGCAACATGAGAAATTTGACAAAATCTTTAAGAATAGAGTCAGTAGGAGCATCATAAGGAGCAGAGTCAGCATTTCTGGGCATTCTGGAAAACACTAGGAGGTGGAGGTGCGTTACAGATCACAATGGGTTTGGCGTTTGTACCATTGTGGTCGTGACCTGAGCACAACGCCAGGTGGAGACAGTCCCTGAACGCCCCTGCGCAGAACGAGAACAGAGGGGTCATGTTGTCCGCCCCCAGGAAAGACACCAGGCCCGCTGGGAAACTACATAGGACCCCAATATGGCTGAAGTGCTTTGTGACAGGCAGCTGGTGGGGCACCCCACCGTGCCAGGCTGTGTACTCCCCATCAAAGAACTCCACAGCCCAGGAGTCAGAGCCACGGCCCAGCCAGCAGTCCTCGGCGCGGCCCTTGCGGGAGATGGTGGGGTAGGTGAGGCCCAGCTCCCAGTAAGTCTTCCCAGCCACATCTATCTCCCAGTAGTGACGCCCGGAGCTGAAGCCCTGCAGGCTGATCACGTTGAGGGTGGTGTCAAAGCGGCCCGGGAGCTCTGGTAGTTCCTGCCAGGTGTCTGTGTAGGTGACACTGTCACCGCGCGGGGAGATGATCAGCTTGGGGTGCGCTGTCTCTGGGTCCAGGGAAACCTCTGTGGAATCTGGGGACAGATGTGTATTTTTACAGTGAGAAATGACTGTATTTAAAAGAAAATATTATCACTGGCTGGGTATGGCAAGCAATAACCGCTTTGAAATCACAGAGTTTTAGGTTTTAAAATCAAATCAGATTTTATTTGTCACATGCGCCGAATTCAACGGGTGTAGACTTTATAGTGAAATGCTTGCTTACGAGCCCTTCCCACCACTGCAGAGTTCTAAAAAATAGTAACACAAGATAAATAAAATACACAAGAATGGATCTACAGTGCCTTTGGAAACTATTCAGATCCCTTGACTTTTTACACATTTTGTTAGGTTACAGCCTTATTCTAAAATGTATAAAATGGTCCCCCCCCCCCTCATCAATCTACACACAATACCCAATAATGACAAAAACAGGTTTTTAGAAATTGTTGCTAATTTATAAAAAATAAAACACTGAAAAATCACATTTACAGAAGTATTCAGATCCTTTACACAGTACTTTCTTGAAGCACCTTTGGCAGCGATTACAGCCTCAAGTCTTCTTGGGTATGACGCTACAAGCTTGGCATACCTGTATTTGGGGAGTTTCTCCCATTCTTCTCTGCAGATCCTCTCAAGCTCTGTCAGGTTGGATGGGGAGCGTTGCTGCACAGCTATTTTCAGGTCTCTTCAGAGATGTTCGATTGGGTTCAAGTCCGGGCTCTGGCTGGGCCACTCAACTCTTGTCCCGAAGCCACTCCTGCGTTGTCTTGACTGTGTGCTTAGGGTCATTGTCCTGTTGGAAGGTGAACCTTTGCCCCCAGTCTGAGGTCCTGAGCGCTCTGGAGCAGGTTTTCATCAAGGATTTCTCTGTACTTTGCTCCGTTCATCTTTGCCTTGATCCTGACTAGTCTCCCAGTCCCTGATGCTGAAAAACATCCCCACAGCGTTGTGCTGCCACCACCATGATTCACTGTAGGGATGGTGCCAGGTTTCCTCCAGATGTGACACTTGGTATTCAGGCCAAAGATTTCAATCTTGGTTTCATCAGACCAGAGAATCTTGTTTCTCATGCTGTGAGAGTCTTTAGGTGCCTTTTAGCAAACTCCAAGCGGGCTGTCATGTGCCCTTTACTGAGGAGTGGCTTCCGTCTGGCCACTATACCATAAATGCCTGATTGGTGGAGTGCTGCAGAGATGGTTGTCCTTCTGGAAGGTTCTCCCATCTCCACAGAGGAACTCTAGAGCTCTGTCAGAGTGACCATCAAGTTCTTGGTCACCTCCCTGACCAATGCCCTTCTCCCCCGACTGCTCAGTTTGGCCGGGCGGCCAGCTCTAGGAATAGTCTTGGTGGTTCCACATTTCTTCCATTTAAGAATGATGGCGGCCACTGTGTTCTTGGGGACCTTCAATGCTGCTGACATTTTTTGGTACACTTCCCCAGATCTGTACCTCGACACAATCCTGTCTCGGAGCTCTACGGACAATTCCTTCGACCTCATGGCTTGGTTTTTGCTCTGACATGCACGGTCAACTGTGGGACCTTATATAGACAGGTGTGTGCCTCTCCAAATCATGTCCAATCAATTAAATTTACCACAGGTGGACTCCAATCAAGTTGTAGAAACATCTCAAGGATGAAACAGGATGCACCTGAGCTCAATTTCGAGTTTCATAGCAAAGGGTCTGAATACTTACATAAATAAGGTATTTCTGTTTTTAATTTTTAATACACTTGCAAAAATTAAAAAACACCTGTTTTTGCTTTGTCATTATGGTGTATTGTGTGTAGATTCCTGAGGATTTTTTTTTATTGAATCCATTTTAGAATAAGGCTGTAACGTAACAAAATGTTGAAATAGTCAAGGGTTCTGAATACTTTCGGAAGCCGCTGTATATATAGGGAGTACCAGTACCAGATCAATGTGCAGAGTTACAAGGTATTTGAGGTAGATATGTACAGTGCCTTCAGAATGCATTCAGACCCCTTTACCTAAAAAAAAAAAATGGTGTTACAGCCTGAATTTAAAATTGATTAAAATGAGATTTTGTGTCACTGGCCTACACACAATACCCATAATGTCAAAGTGGAATTGTGTTTTTAGAAATTTTTGAAAATGAAAAGCTGAAATGTCTTGAGTCAATAAGTATTCAACCCCGTTGTTATGGCAACCTAAATAATTAACAATTTGCTCAACAAGTCACGTAATAAGTTGCATGGATTCACTCTGTGTGCAATAATAGCATTTAACATGATTTTTGAATGACTACCTCATCTCTGTACCCCACACATACAATTATCTGTAAGGTCCCTCAGTCGAGCAGTGTATTTCAAACACAGATTCAACCACAAAGACCAGGGAGGCTTTCCAATGCCTCGAAAAGAAGGGCACCTAGTGGGAGCTCAGCCCCAGTGATGTACTGGGCTGTCCGCACCACCCTCTGTAGCACTTTGCGGTCGAGGGTGGTGTATTTGCCATACCAAGCTGTGATGCAGCCAGTCAAGACGCTCTCGATGGTGCAGCTGTATAACTTTTTGAGGATCTGAGGGCCCATGCCAAATCTTTTCAGCTTGTCGTGCCCTCTTCTTGACTGTGCAAGTGTGTGTGGACCATGCTAAGTCCTTAGTGATGTGGACACCAAGGAACATGAAGCTCTTGACCAGCCCCGTCAATGTGGATGGGGATGTGCTCTCCCCTCTTTCTCCTATAGTCCATGATAAGCTCCTTGGTCTTACTGACGTTGAGGGAGAGGTTGTTGTCCTAGCACCACACTGCCAAGTCTCTTACCTCCTCCCTGTAGGCTGTCTCATCGCCTTCGGTGATCAGGCCTACCACTGTTGTGTCGTCAGCAAACTTGATGATGGTTTTGGAGTGAATAGGGAGTACAGGAGGGGACTAAGCACACAACCCTGAGGGGACCCCCTGTTGAGGGTCAGCGTGGCGGAGGTGTTGGTGCCTACCCTCACCACCTGAGGGCGGCCCTTCAAGACATCCAGGATCCAGTTGCAGAGGGAGGTGTTCAGTCCCAGGGTCCCCAGCTTGGTGATGAGCTTGGGGGGAACTATGGTGTGAACGCTGAGCTGAATGACAGCATTCTCACATACAGTGAGGGAAAAAAGTATTTGATCCCCTGCTGATTTTGTACATTTGCCCACTGACAAAGAAATGATCAGACTATAATTTTAATGGTAGGTTTATTTGAACAGTGAGAGACAAAATAACAACAAAAAACATCCAGAAAAACGCATGTCAAAAATGTTATAAATTGATTTGCATTATAATGAGGGAAATAAGTATTTGACCCCCTCTCAATCAGAAAGATTTCTGGCTCCCAGGTGTCTTTTATACAGGTAACGAGCTGAGATTAGGAGCACACTCTTAAAGGGATCTCAGTTTGTTACCTGTATAAAAGACACCTGTCCACAGAACAATCAATCAATCAGATTCCAAACTCTCCACCATGGCCAAGACCAAAGAGCTCTCCAAGGATGTCAGGGACAAGATTGTAGACCTACACAAGGCTAGAATGGGCTACAAGACCATCGCCAAGCAGCTTGGTGAGAAGGTGACAACAGTTGGTGTGATTATTCGCAAATGGAATAAACACAAAAGACTTGTCAATCTCTCTCGGCCTGGGGCTCCATGCAAGATCTCGCCTCGTGGAGTTGCAATGATCATGAGAACAGTGAGGAATCAGCCCAGAACTACAAGGGAGGATCTTGTCAACTATCTCAATGCAGCTGGGACCATAGTCACCAAGAAAACAATTGGTAACACACTACGCCGTGAAGGACTGAAATTCTGCAGCGCCCGCAAGGTCCCCCTGCTCAAGAAAGCACATATACATGCCCGTCTGAAGTTTGCCAATGAACATCTGAATGATTCAGAGGAGAACTGGGTGAAAGTGTTGTGGTCAGATGAGACCAAAATTGAGCTCTTTGGCATCAACTCAACTCGCCGTGTTTGGAGGAGGAGGAATGCTGCCTATGACCCCAAGAACACCATCTCCACCGTCAATATATGCTTTGGGGGTGTTTTTAGACTGATCATTTCTTTGTCAGTGGGCAAACGTACAAAATCAGCAGGGGATCAAATACTTTTTTCCCTCACTGTAGTTATTTCCCCTCTTGTCCAGGTGGGAGAGGGCAGTGTGAAGTACAATTCAGATTGCGTTTCTAGGTACAGAAACATGCTGCATATTATAATGGCTTATCCACACATAAATTATAGATGTAACAAATGTATCTATAATGAAAGAACTCTGACAAACCACATGGTGTAGACTAGATGATCCATGTTTTTTTTTTTTAAAGTACCTGCGTAACTCTCCAGTTGTAATTAACATCACAACATCTTGAGAATGAAATCATTAAAATGTAGAAGACATCATGGAATACTAAGGGAACTCACAGCTCCTGATGAGTCTCTTGGTGATGGGGGTCTGGGAGCGGATGAGTAGCAGCATGTTGTTGGTGAGGCTGAGGATCTGGTCAGCTTTAGGCTCATCCAAGTTCACTTTGCTGGGGTCTGTCCTGCTCAGCAGATCCATCACTCTGGGTGAGAGAGGACAGACACCAATATTTACTGCAGGGGCCCTCACATGAACAGTGACAGTTTATGATCAATAATGATAATTGAAAACATCTCTGTTTCGCATGTGGTATTAGAAACAAAACATTTATCTGGATCAAATGACATACCTGCCTACTATCTCAGTGTCCTAGAGAAGATGGAGAGGAAATGAAGATAGTGATAATGAATACAACAGTATGTACTTATCACAGTTACATCCATCAACAATATCCATTGAACTGAAGAGCCAAATCACCATTGAATAAGGCAGTAGAATGTCCTTCTGGGCCAGCTCAGAAGTGAGCCTGGCCAGATCCTGCTCTATCTCCTGAATGATGGTACAGTTCTTCTCCATCAGGTCCTCCAGGGCTGTGACTGCAGCTCTCTCCTCCATCTCTAGCTGGGTTAGAGTCATCCTCAGGTCCTCATCCAGAACCCTCTGGATGTCCTCATACTTCTTCCTTATACTCTCCCTCATCGCTGATGACTTTTTCTGGTTGGGTGACACAGAATCAATCGGTGTGAAAGTCATTGCAACACATCCCATCTTAGAGCTTCATATGCTACCATGTTTTGAGAGTTTTTCACCACAAATAGATACCATAGAAATATAGATGTGAGATGTGACCATAGAAATATAAAGTAACACTTCATTTTAATGATCCTTATTACAGTGTAATTACATGTGTAATTACACTGTAACAAGCATTGAAGTTAACTGTAATAACTCATAGTTACACTGTAATAACAACAGGTGGTAATTGCAGTCTGTAATTACAGAGGTATAACAATGAATGCTTGTTACAAATGGGCAAGTTTTCACTAACTTCACCAATTTTGTGTTTTGTTTGTTCTCAGCTTAATCTGATTCAGTAATAACTATCACAAGGCTGTAATCTCTTGTGGACACATGCGCTGGGTGCCCAGACATTACATAAACTCTATTTTCTTACCCTTGAACGCACACTCTCAAAAATGTCCACTCAATATTGTTGCGAGCACTTGCCCCCAAAAAGTGTACCATCTGGGTTAACTTGGTTGAGTTTACAAAAACAGATAAGATGTTGGTCAACATCACTGACTGGAGTCTACCATACGGGTGTCATCCTCAAGTGGGTGTCATCCTCAAGTGGGAGAATAAACACACTAGTACAACACAGAGTACATGTAATATCTGCAGAAGTACAATGTTATTACTAGGTGTTACACAGGATTTAGCTAGTTAAAATGAAGTGTATCTTGAGGAGTACTTACTTTTAATTAATGTGTACTTATATTACAATACCCATCCTGACAATCTTGCCTTAATTTTAAAGCTTCTGGAAGCACCATCCAAGTGAGAAAATAAACACACTAGTACACCACAGAGCACATGTAATATCTTCATACCAGTGGCGGTCAGTGTCGTTTATGATGAGGGAGGACACATTTATTTTTCATGAGCATGTCTGTCTATTACAGCATGTTGGATGACTGTCATTCATATTCCATTCACCCAGTTCAATGTAACATCGATAGGTTTAGGCTACTACGTGATACTCTAATTTTCCCTATACTCATCATGAGGTTGTTACAACCTAGCCTATGAATGAAAGTTTACAACGTAGGTGCACACAGGTCGAGAGAAAAATTTGAGATGACAGACAGTGACACATTCAATACCGCCATGCACACTCTTGCCTGCATCTAGATGATCTAGGGTGTAATCATTAGTCCAGCAGTTGCAAATGAGAGTTTCTAGACAAATTCAGGTATTTTTATCCCTGTTTTGTTTGCTTCCGTTTAAGAAACGTTTTTCAACACCTCTGATCATGCATAAACACAGTTCACTTTCATAGCAGCCACGTTGAATTCATTCTAGCCTCTATGCATTCTCCTCCTCTCACCTTTTCCCTTCGTTTGTGGACTTCAATGAACAACACATCAGCTGTATGTGACCAGGCGAAAAAACCTTTCCAAGCCAAACCATGTCATAACCACTACACACAGCCTACATCGTTGTCATTACAGTGTATACTCAGTAAGCAGTTCCCCCGGTGGCAATAAATTAATACAACCAAAAGCTTACCTTGACATGGAAGGGTTCCTGTGTTAGCTAACATAGCCGGGTGTTTGAGTAACTAAACTAGCCAGCTGCATTTGCTAGCTAGCTAGCTAACATAGTATATCTCTATTTGAGCCTGGTGTTTGAGTAACTAAACTAGCCAGCTGCATTTGCTAGCTAAGTAAGTGAAACTGAAAGTGAAAAAATCACTCTCTCTCGTTCTCTTACTTATCCTTCCTTTTTGAAGAAATTAATTTGTTGAAAACTGTTCAACTATTGTTTTCCTCTCTCTTTGAGTCAACTACTCACCACATTTTATGCACTGCAGTGCTAGCTAGCTGTAGCTTATGCTTTCAGTACTAGATTCATTCACTGATACTTTGATTGGGTGGACAACATGTCAGTTCATGCTGCAAGAGCTCTGTTAGGTTGGAAGACGTCCTCCGGAAGTTGTCATAATTACTGTGTAAGTCTATGGAAGGGGGAGAGAACCAAGAGCTTCCTAGGTTTTGTATTGAAGTCAATGTACAAAGAAGAGGACGGAAGCTAGCTGTCCTCCGGCTACACCATGGTGCTACCCAACAGAGTGCTGTTGAGGCTACTGTAGACCTTCATTGCAAAACAGTGTGTTTTAATCAATTATTTGGTGATGTGAATATATTAAGTATAGTTTTATCTAAAAAATTATAACTTTTTCAATGTTTTACCATTTTTATTTTTTATGAAATTCACTGAGGAGGATGGTTCTCCCCTTCCTTCTCTGAGGAGCCTCCACTGCTGCATACGTACTTTGTAATTACTAGGTGTTACACAGGATTTAGCTAGTTAAAATGAAGTGCATCTTGAGGGGTACACAAAGTATGTTACCCATCCTGACAATCTTATCGTTAGCTTCTGAAAGCACCATCCAAGTGAGAAAATAAACACACTAATACATCACAGAGCACATATATCTAATATCTGCATAGGTACAAGGTTGTCACTAGTTGTAACAAAGGATTTAGCTTTTTAAAGATAAGTGTAACTTTACAGTTACCTATGAGCAATTTCTATATACAGTGGGGAGAACAAGTATTTGATACACTGCCGATTTTGCAGGTTTTCCTACTTACAAAGCATGTAGAGGTCTGTAATTTTTTATCATAGGTACACTTCAACTTTGAGAGACGGAATCTAAAACAAAAATCCAGAAAATCACATTGTATGATTTTTAAGTAATTAATTTGCATTTTATTGCATGACATAAGTATTTGATCACCTACCAACCAGTAAGAATTCCGACTCTCACACACCTGTTAGTTTGTCTTTAAGAAGCCCTCCTGTTCTCCACTCATTACCTGTATTAACTGCACCTGTTTGAACTCGTTACCTGTATAAAAGACACCAGTACACACACTCAATCAAACAGACTTAACCTCTCCACAATGGCCAAGACCAGAGAGCTGTGTAAGGGATAAAATTGTAGACCTGCACAAGGCCGGGATGGGCTACAGGACAATAGGCAAGCAGCTTGGTGAGAAGGCAACAACTGTTGGTGCAATTATTAGAAAATGGAAGAAGTTCAAGATGACGGTCAATCACCCTCAGTCTGGGGCTCCATGCAAGATCTCACCTCGTGGGGCATCAATGATCATGAGGAAGGTGAGGGATCAGCCCAGAACTACACGGCAGGACCTGGTCAATGACCTGAAGAGAGCTGGGACCACAGTCTCAATGAAAACCATTAGTAACACACTACGCCGTCATGGATTAAAATCCTGCAGCGCACGCAAGGTCCCCCTGCTCAAGCCAGCGCATGTCCAGGCCCGTCTGAAGTTTGCCAATGACCATCTGGATGATCCAGAGGAGGAATGGGAGAAGGTCATGTGGTCTGATGAGACAAAAATATAGCTTTTTTGTCTAAACTCCACTCGCCGTGTTTGGAGGAAGAAGAAGGATGAGTACAACCCCAAGAACACCATCCCAACCGTGAAGCATGGAGGTGGAAACATCATTCTTTGGGGATGCTTTTCTGCAAAGGGGACAGGACGACTGCACCGTATTGAGGGGAGGATGGATGGGGCCATGTATCGCGAGATCTTGGCCAACAACCTCCTTCCCTCAGTAAGAGCATTGAAGATGGGTCGTGGCTGGGTCTTCCAGCATGACAACGACCCGAAACACACAGCCAGGGCAACTAAGGAGTGGCTCCGTAAGAAGCATCTCAAGGTCCTGGAGTGGCCTAGCCAGTCTCCAGACCTGAACCCAATAGAAAATCTTTGGAGGGAGCTGAAAGTCCGTATTGCCCAGCGACAGCCCCGAATCCTGAAGGATCTGGAGAAGGTCTGTATGGAGGAGTGTACCAAAATCCCTGCTGCAGTGTGTGCAAACCTGGTCAAGACCTACAGGAAATGTATGATCTCTGTAATTGCAAACAAAGGTTTCTGTACCAAATATTAAGTTCTGCTTTTCTGATGTATCAAATGCTTATGTCATGCAATAAAATGCAAATTAATTACTTAAAAATCATACAATGTGATTTTCTGGATTTTTGTTTTAGATTCCGTCTCTCACAGTTGAAGTGTACCTATGATAAAAATTACAGACCTCTACATGCTTTGTAAGTAGGAAAACCTGCAAAATCGGCAGTGTATCAAATACTTGTTCTCCCCACTGTATATAATTACTGACTACTCATTACCAAGTGAAAAAACCGACAAACAAAAGATGAGCTCCTCAACTTTATTGCAATGTAAAAAGACCTCACATTTCTTACAAAATTACGAGGATTTTTATTGTTAGATTAATAATTTGATTAATTAGATTAAACAAAGATATAGGCCTACGCAATAACATAAAACATTCTAGTGGTGGTGAGTAGTAGCCTAGATAGTTAATTTAGAAAAACAGAATTGTATTTTTTTCCCTTTTTAAAATTGCAAGTAAAAATGGAAATCAAATTTCTCTGTCTCTGTCTTCATCTGTTTCTTTCTTGTAAGCATTTTCGCATCCTGGAGACTGAGACCTTGTGGGAATCTACGGTAGATACAGTGAGGGAAAAAAGTATTTGATCCCTGCTGATATTGTACATTTGCCCACTGACAAAGACATGATCAGTCTATAATTTTAATGGTAGGTTTATTTGAACAGTGAGAGACAGAATAACAACCAAAAAATCCAGAAAACGCATGTCAAAAATGTTATAAATTGATTTGCATTTTAATGAGGGAAATAATTATTTGACCCCTCTGCAATACATGACTTAGTACTTGGTGGCAAAACCCTTGTTGGCAATCACAGAGGTCAGACATTTATTGTAGTTGGCCACCAGGTTTGCACACATCTCAGGAGGGATTTTGTCCCACTCCTCTTTGCAGATCTTCTCCAAGTCATTAAGGTTTCGAGGCTGACGTTTGACAACTCAAACCTTCAGCTCCCTCCACAGATTTTCTATGGGATAAATGTCTGGAGACTGGCTAGGCCACTCCAGGACCTTAATGTGCTCTTCTTGAGCCACTCCTTTGTTGCCTTCACTGTGTGTTTTAG